CCTCCCCCCCCCCCCCCTTCGGTGTCTGAAAAACATATCACACTAATATTCCCCTCTTGAAATTAGAATTTTGACTAGCTAAATCATAGTTTAAAACCGTACCAAAGGATACTGTATGCTCTCCAATACATCACATTTTTGTCGGGACCGTTGAGCAGGCCCCGAACTCCACATCAAGGGGGCGATGGTCGGCTTGGCATCCGAGGCCTGTCGTTCCGCCCCCTTCTAATAATTCTGGATCCGTCCCTGTCCTCTCCCCTTCACCTAACTCCAGCAGCTGAAGTCGCAAAAACAACGGAGCTGTGAGGATGTTTTAAACTATTTTATCCACGCTTTACTGCAATAAAATAAACTAAAAAATGGTTACAAGAACGAAGTAGCGGTTTGTTTGTTAAATAAGAAAGTAATATTTTTGTTTACGATTATATTTTTGTTTTCCCATCCACTTATTATCACAGGTCCTTGCTAACAGTAAGCCCCGCAAAAATTAAATCACTTACCTCAACCACAACACGAATGTCACTATGAATTAGTATCATTTATTTATTTATTTATTTATTTATTTATTATTTTGAAGAAAGTAGACATTGACAGTAAAAGAATCTGTCAATATTCTACACATAATGCAAAAACATTTATTCTTCCTTCTTCCACGCATATACTGCGGCACATACTTGTACTAATTTTAAAATGACTCATGCGCTACCTCCAGAATAACGTCATATGTCATATTTCTTTACTTGAATCTGTTTTTAAATTGGTTTCTTTTGCTAAATTCTTCTTTTTACAAAATAGTTTGTGTCGTATTAGACACGCTGAAGGGTTCAGAAAGAGAACTAGTTTTGGAAACGTATATATTCTCTTGAAATATTTAATAACTAACTTCAGATTTTAGCGCTCTCTTTCGGCGTACTCACTGTTTCACAGCAAGAGAAATCACAGTGCGCGATGATTGACGTTTGTTTATATAACCTGCCAATCAAGCTGTTATTACTTGACAGCAAGTATCAAAACTAACTGAATTTGATTGGCACCTTGTCGATCAAAGGATGTAGGAAGCTTGAACCAAACGTGTTCGGCGACTGTAGTGATCTACTGTGTAATGATTGTGATTGACGTTTGTTTATATAACCTGCCAATCAAGCTGTTATTACTTGACAGCAAATATCAAAACTAATGAGTTTGATTGGCATCTTGTCAATCAAAGGATATTGGAGTTTTACATGTTCGGAGAGAAGAGTGTAGTAATTGTGTTTGACGCTTGTTAAAAAAACCGTCATCCATAGTCGTGTACGCTTGATAGCTTCTATCAAAGCTGAATTAGCCTGTTTGAATCTGATTCATACCTGTCTATAACAATACATGTAACATTCTGCAGGTAGAGGGCATTCTACTTTCTTTTTTTGCAGCTCGTTAAAAAACGTCGGATTCTTTATTTCAACCGAGAGACAGAAATTTAACAACGTGAAAGAATTTTAATTGTGCTTAAAATCAGTTATCCTTCTTTTTCTGGATATCATGTAAAATGACTATATATGACCCTTTCTTTGGTGCTCGTACGAAATCGTATACGAACTAATAATATTACTTTAATCATATTCATGTTCTTTTACACCCAATGAATATTTTTGGACAGTTTTTAAAAAACGAATGGGATAAAAAGTAAAACTTTGCCCTTTTCTCTAAGCTACTTAAAGAAAAAATGCCGAGGTAATGTTAGTGGCCAGGTCAAATTAAAAAGTACCGGTTTTGTTCGTTCCTTATAAAGGGCCGGGGGCAATAAGTAGCCCGTCTCTGTATATTGACAAGAGCGTGCGTGAAAACTTATCTTTTTAAATAAACTACACAATTAAAACTGCCAAATTAAATTTGAAAACAATTTTATGCAATGCGTTAATAATCTTTCGAGATTTAATCTGCGATCTATTGTTAGTATTTCATAAGTATAAAAAACTCGCGTGTGAAAATTAATAAAGTAATAGTGGAAAAAGTCGGGCTGGTTTAATGAAAGACTTTAAATTCTTGGTTTTAATTTTTGAAGTTGTTCGTTCAATATTTTATACTATATTTCATCGGATTGGTAAAACATTATATTTTCATTATATATAAAATGGTTGCTCCGCCGTATAAGAATTATAGTTGGTTTAAAAGACAAAATCACAACATAAATGGCATAATTCAAAATATATTGGGGGAAGGCCCCCTCCTCACACATCTACGGCTGTCCAAGGCAGTCGGAGCGCGGGCTATGAAAAGAATGGTGTTTTTAAACCCCCCGCCCACTTTTTTCACGTCAACACAGGAAAGGACGGGCTAGTTCTTTTTTTTTTTTTTTTTTTGGGGGGGGGGGGGGGGGGGG